CCCGTTTGCAGCCCGGGACGCAGCGTCCGCAGCCGGCGAGGGTCTGTGCCGATGGATGGTGCGCACGTTGCGCTGGAGCTTCGGGCGTGGACCAGGGATGTACGTAGACAGGTGGTCAGAGTCGGTACTGTCGGTTACGTGGGTCGTCGAGGACTGCAGGTCGTCGTCGGGGACCGGCATCACAGCGCCGGTTGCGTCCTGATACGGCACAGGCGAACCGGCCGACGCGGTATCCACATGCCCGTTTGGCTGCTGCGCTGCCGCAGCCTTCTCCATCTGCTGCAGCCCTCTGAGCGAGATGGGGTCGTCGATACGCGCGCCACCTGGCCAGTACCCCGCAGCCACGCGGCGGCTCTCGATTGGTGGCTCAGAGAGCAGGCTCGCGCGATGGAAGTCCGGCCGCCGTGGCACGCTGCCCTCCGCAGGTGCGTCCTTGTCCGTGCCCGGGCGGTACTGCCGGCGCAGCGAGCTCGACCGCCGCGTCAGTGACGTGGAACGGCCCACGAGCCAGCTCGGGGATGCACCGGACGCGGGCGTCGTATCCGGCGACGGCGGATGCGCGGCAGGCGTGTCGGGGTATTGCGACGGGAGATGCTGGCTCACATTGCGCTCCGCCTGCTCTTTGAGGAAGGCGCGGAAGTCCTCTGGTGAAATTTCCGGATGCGCCTGTGCAGGCACCCAGAAAAGGTGACTCGGGTCCGTCGCAGTCGGCGATGGACTCACAGGTGAGTCAGGACCACTCTCCACGGTCGACGGCGGCGAACCGGGGGAGTGCGGCTGTCGCAGCAAATCCGCATACCGCGCATGCGCGGTGGACCCAAAAAGAGGGGGGCTCGGGGACGGCAGCTGCTCCTCTGGTGGGGACGCAGGTGGCTCGGCACTGTGACGCGATGGTGGCAGCGGTGCCTCTCGGTGCGGCAGCGAGGCGCGGGGCGCGCGGGTGCCGAAGGCATCGTGCAGGCCATTCAAATTCGGCAGGTCTGGGTCCATGAGCGTGCATGTGACGGAGAGCCGTCGCTGCTTGCGCAGCGCGTCGACCTCGCGCTGGAGCTCGAGCTCGGTCACCACGTTGCCTGCCATACCGCCGTACGCCATGTGATCGTGGAACGGCGCTCACCAAGAACGAAAACAGTGGTGGGGTGTGCGCCCAGGAGCGGGGTTCCCAGCGGCAGCGCGGTGTAGATATACGCGTGCCGTCGCGGTACGGATGTGCTGCGCAGTGCGACGCAAGTCAGACGGCGATCCAGCCGCCGCGAGCTTTTGGCGGATGCAGCGAAACACCAACTGGCCTTGCCACAAGGCGCGGCGTCCCCCGATAGTGACGGCCCGATCCTCTCCTAATCACAATGCAGCCTATCAGAAATGGACATGCAGAGAGAATTCTCCACATAAGCAAGGTGCACACACGCGCATGCCAGCCAGCGGCAACGGACTGTCAGGTACCATGCACGCCCGCCCAATCACCGCGTTTCGCGACGCGGCGGCCCCGTGTCCATTGGTGTGATGCTGGGGAGGGTACGTGGGCGTATCGTAAACCAAGCCCTGGAAGAAAAAGGGGTGCCGTGCGCGTAGGTAGAACGAACCAGATGCGCGGCTGCCTAGTCTCATTCGTCTGCACCTGCGCCTTGGTGTGGGGAGTGACGCGGGGCACGGTTCGGTGCAGCGCTGTCAGAGCGCAATTCCCGGGCGATCACGCAAAGCTGGCGCGCCCATTGGCCGCTGCCAGCGCCGTCGTGGACGGGTGGTGTCTCGGCGACGCACGGCGGCCCCAGTGCGTCTCGTATCATGCGCTCGCACAGCGCACCTCTCAGCCGCACGCCCTACCCAAGAGCAGTGACCGGCTTCTACCACCATCTCCCACGCCCCCCTTCCCCTTCCCCCTACCGCTTTACATATACCACTCCTTCGTGGCTCGTCGCATCCACCGTGTGGCCGCGCTGTTGCAGAAGGCGGATCACCGCCGGCCGGATCACCGCAGTGTGGTGTCGGCTGTGCAGGCCACGGCCTGTGACGATCTCCAGCGGCGCCCGCGTGCTGTGCCCGTCGCGATCGTGCTGCGTCGCCTGCCAGTGCCCGACGCTGTGCGCCACCACGGTCAGCGCCTCGTGCACGGTCAGCTGGTGCAGGTCAATGCGCGTGGGCGCTTTTCCAACGCGGCGACCGCCAGCTGGCTCCATAGTGGAGAGCGTCTGTTCGGCGCGCGCTGTAGCAGCGCGCATCTGCCATCGACGCGCCTCGGCGTCGAGCTTGCTCGCCTCCTCCGCATACACAATGGCCGCGCCTCCCATATTCGTGTGAGCGCCGCCGCGTCGAACGGACGATGCGGCCTGCCGCAAGGCCGCATTTCGCCGCGCACGCAACTCGTCAACGCGCGTCCGACACTCTGCGACAGAGTAGTCCGTGGTAAATGCGTCCGGGTCGCCTCCCGCGGCTGCGGGTGGAACATGCGCCGCGGACGCAGGGAGAATAGTCGCAGCGTGGCCGTCGCGGAACGCGGTCGTCGCGCGCGGGGCGGGTGGCGCGCCGCCGCCGACAACGGTGCGTCCCGCATAGCTGGACGTGTTGGTCGGAAGCCACTGTGCCGCCGCATCGGCTGCCGTGTTCCGCAGCTCTGAGTGGCTGTTTGTCGCGAGCGCGCGCGACTCTGGGCTATCCTGGATTAGCTGTGCGGTCGGATCGAGCACATCAGGGCGCTGCCCCCCCCAGGGTGTTGATGCGACGGTGTCTTCCAGCTCCAGTAGATCGAGCGCTGCATCCTGCACGCCATGGGTCGCTAGGAGGACGCGTCGCATCTGCTCTCGAGGGCGTTCGGTGATGGCTGCGAGCGTGTCGCACACGACAGGGAACTCTGTATGCTGCGCGGCAGCCAGCGCATCCGGTGATGCAGCTGCAAGTGCCACGACGCGTGCCACCGTGACGGGGACGCTCAGGGATGCCTCGTGGAACATGCTCCGGACGCGGGGAAGAGATATCTGCACGAGCTCCGCCAGGTGCGACAGCGTCGACGAGACCAGCAGCCACTTGTGGTCGGCGACGCTCATGTCATCTGCGGCGTTGCCCCGCTCCGCGTGCTGCAGCTCCCGCGCGAGGTCCCTGTCGTTCATTTTCCCCTGCGCAGCGCGGACAAAAGGCGAGGCCGCTTCCGCGGAGCCGCGCTGCTCGCGGGGCGCGTCCGCGCGCGGGACCATTCGATGGTCGTAGTAGATATGGTGGCGGCTGCGCTGGTCCGTGAGGCTTACTTTTACGGGGGCTGCTTTTGCCCGCGCGTGTTTCCGGCGGCTCGGCGCATATGGCCTTTGCGCTGCAAGTCCGTCCGCGAGCGCCTCGATGTCCAGGCCGTTTTTCTGGCCACACGCGGGAGGCTCCGGAGACCGCGTAACACTATCCAAGAGCATGGCAACGAACAGCTCGTCCATGGACGCATCAAGGTCCATATTGTTGTGCACTAGGATGGCCTGCAGCGACGATGGCGGGTGGCTTGGGAACATGTGCTGCATGAAGAGAAGTTCGGGCGTATCGGTGGCAGAGTCGTGTGTCGCTGCTGCCTGAGCGTCTGATTCATCCTGCCCAGGATATGCCGCCCCCACCGACTCAGCGGCGGCGCATCCATTGTCCTCATCGCGCCCCGCTGCAGCAGCGTCCTCAGCGCGCGCGGCGGCAGCCAGCTCATCCAGCACTGCCACCGCCTCTGTGCGTGTACGACCGGGCTCTTGCGCAATGGCCAGGACAAGGCTCGGGTCCAGCAGCGGGAAATACTGCCCGGCAATGTCCTGTGCTGGGTCGCCTTCCTCGGTAGGCTGCATGGTGCGCGGGTCCAACCCAAACCGCTGCATGGTTTTCCCGCTCGCTTCAGGGAAATTGGGCCAAATATACAGCCGCGGCCGATTCCACAACACCCGACAAGCGAGCGAATCGACGGCTGCGGCCGATTTCACCGTACTCCACACGCCACTGTAAACATAAGGTTTTGACACAGCATCATCCTGGACGCACTCGCTACCGCACGCCAACGGCGACCCAAAATCCCACCCTGTCTGGACGGAGCATACATGGCCATCCGAAGGACATTCAGCACCTGCGGCTGGTCACGTAAGTGGATTTGCTGGCACCGCTAATGCGCCAGGAAAAAAGGAGGATGACACGGACGAAGCCTGGGTGGACTACCGGGCGGGCATGCCCCCCCGTCGCCAGTACGGGGCGAAGTCGTCGTTCTGTGCGTTTCTTCCACGGCCCAGGATTGTTTGTCTTGGGTTCACGGAAGACGATGCGCCGGTGTCTGCGCCAACGCGCCGCGACTCACTGCGGGCGCGCACACGGCGCCTGTCGTCCTATGTTGACAGCGTGGGGGGGGCGGGGTTACAGGACGGGAATGTGTCGACTCCGGAAACTTTCTGGCACGATATCGGTGAGCCGAACGGTACCTTGTCGTCGGCCACGGATTCTTTGGATACCCCACCGGCGGGCGCCGACCTTCTCGCACCGTACACTGGGACGGAGGCGGCAATGCCGCGGTCCGAGTTTTACGATGTGCCGACAGTGCGGCGCAGGACGATGACTCCCGACATCTGGTGTTATGGACTCGACGACAGCCCCGGCAGCTTGGCTTCGCAGGCGACGCCTCTGTCGGCGGCGCAGCGCACCGTGCACGTACAGACGCCGATCTACTTCATGTTTCCCGAGCCCTACTCTCCCCAGCCGCCGGACCTATTCTTTTCACAGCGCCAGTTTGCGCGACCGAAGGACAGTGCGATAAGCTTCCATCTGCCAACGGGCTCACGAGACCTCGGCGGTCACCAAGGCATACTGACAGACGACGTCTCCGCTTGGTGGAACCCGGGGCAACCCGAGCCGGACTGTAGCCAGCACAGGATGTAGTGTATCGCGTCGGCAACCCCCGCGCCTTTCCAGCGCAGAGCGCTTTTTCAAGGTTGGCCGTGCCACGCTGCTGGCCGTGCCGGTGGCTCATAGTAGGACCAACGGCTACGGAATGCAATGAATCGGGCAAGATGGCCGAGTGGTCTAAGGCGCTGTGTTCAGGCTCTCCTCGGAGATACCTTGACAACCAATTCGCAGTCTCCCTGAGGCGTGGGTTCGAATCCCACTCTTGTCAAAATTTTTGTGCCGCGATGCGCGCGCGTGTGTGTGTGTGTTTTTTTGGTTTATTTTCGGTTTTAATTCTTTCTTCTTAAACTTTTCATTTACAGGTCGTGTAGTGCACTTCGAAATGTTTGCAAACAGTTTCTCCAATCGGTATCGGATTGCGCGCGGAACTTGCTTCGTGACATGTCGGCGCCTGGGTGCGAAAAAATGGCGGAGGGGAAGGGCGGAGTTCCGCATGACGTGGAGAAGCGCTCGAACGAGGCTACCACGAAGACAGCTGTGGGGCTGCGCGGGGACGTGCATGACGACGACGACGCGTACGACGCAGGGCACGTAGAGGCGTCTGCGGTCGATGGGGTATACGGACGGAAGGTGTACATCATGAACAAGATTATGAACGAGCAGATTGGCATGACGTGGTGGCAGTGGGGGCTGCTCTGTGTGGCGGGGGTCGGCTGGCTTATCGACAACGCGTGGCTGCAGCTCGTCGCTGTGATTCTGCCGCAGGTGGAGAGAGAGTTCGAGGAGGTGCATGGCGCCGGAGCCGTAACACAGCCGCGAGGCCCCTTCATGACACTCTCCCTGTTTGCCGGTCTCATTGTGGGAGCCGCGTTCTGGGGTATTGCAGCGGATGTCGTTGGGCGCCGGTTCTCGTTCAATGCGACGCTGCTCATTGCCGGCGTCTTCGGCACTGCAGCGGGCGGCGCGACAAGCTTTGCGACGCTGGGCGGTCTCTTTGCCGCGCTGGGCTTCGGACTCGGCGGCAGCCTGCCGGTCGATGGCATGCTTTTTCTCGAGTTTCTCCCGGGCAACCGCCAGAACCTGCTGACACTGCTTTCCGTGTTCTGGTCGCTTGGCCAGCTGCTTACGTCGCTCGTCGGCTGGGCGTTTATTGTGAACTACAGCTGCGATTCGACACAGGAGTGCTCCGAGAAGAATGGCATGGGCTGGATGGTGAACAACAAGGGCTGGCGCTATTTGAACTTCACGATTGGCGCATTCACCCTCGCGTGCTTTTTCCTGCGCTTTGTTGTGTTCAAAATCCCCGAGAGCCCCAAGTTCCTGATTTCCAAGGGCCGCGACGCCGAGGCTGTCGTTGCGATGAAGCGCTTCGCAGCGATGTGCGGGAAGCCGCTCCCCGACGATGCGCTCACAGTGGGCATCCTGCGTTCCGCCGCGGGCGAGGACGGCACGATGGACGAGGTGGATGCGGAGAAGCCCGCGCCGCGCGGCACGCTGCGGGAGCGCACCGAGCAGAGGTTGCGCGGTTTGCGGAAGAACATGCGCGGCGTGTCGTTCGTGCCAAGCCTGTCACACATCAAGCCGCTGTACTCGACGCGTGCGCTCGGATATACCACAACAATCATCTGGCTGCTGTGGGCGATCATTGGCATCGCGTACCCTCTGTTCAACTCGTTCATCATCCTGTACCTCGGGAACAATGGCTCCACGTCCCCCAGCTTGGTGTACCGTAACTACGTGATTATCTCCGTGTGCGGCGTGCCCGGCAGTCTCATTGCCGCATGGCTCGTGGACCTCCCGCGCAGTGGGCGCCGCGGTGCAATGGCCCTCGGCACGCTGCTCACGGGCGTCTTCCTCTTTGGATTCACCGGCGTGCACACCTCGGATGGCCAGCTGGCATTCAGCTGTGTCACGGCATTTACGCAAAATATCATGTACGGCGTGCTGTACTGCTACACGCCAGAGGCATTCCCCGCGCCCCTCCGCGGCACGGCGGATGGGATCGGGTCCAGCCTGAACCGCGTGCTGGGCCTCGTGGCGACAATCGTCAAGCTGTACGGGGCGGATACCAATCCAGCGACGCCGATCTACATCTCCGCAGCGCTCTTCATTGTCGCAGCCGCGCTTATGCTCACGCTCCGTGTGGAGACCGCCGCGCGCACGGCCCTGTAAGTGTGTTCGTATGCAGCACACTCTGCGGCACCAGCCGGCCCAGCATACCCATACGCGTCACGTGCCTCTGTAGCGCTGGCGCTCCCACTCGCTCCAAAGAGTTTTGAACACCAGCTGTGCGCTCGCGTCCAGCATCCCCTTCAGCGCCGCGTCCCGCTCGTATTCGCCGACCACCGAGCAGAGCGCAAAGAGACCCGCCTGCAGCTCCTTGCGGAGCGGCTGTGCAATCGTCGTCGCGGGCTGTGTCGCGCACCGCGCATACGCGACGAGGATGTACACTGCATGTTTTGACAGCGCGCGCGCGACGGACTCCGCAGTCACGTGGCGCACGTCGACCGTGCGGTGTCGCTTCGCAGGCACCGCGGCGCTCGTCGTCTTCCCGGGCAGCTCTGTGAGCAGCCGCCCGAACGCGCGCGCGGCGCCGACACCCAGCGGCGCGGACGCGACGTCCAGCCAGTCCGGCATCGCCGCCGCGACCTGCCGGCGCGCTGCGCGCCCCGTGTTTTGCTGCAGAAACGAGACGAGCAGCGGCAGCAGGGCGAGGAGCGACCCGGTCATGTGCGGCAGATACTTCATCACGAGGTCCTTGCGCAGACGCACGAGCGCACTTAGTGCGCCGACGAGGGACCGGAAGATGTCGTCGCCCGTCAGCCCGTCGCTGGCAGGTGCCGCGCCGCGCGGCTGCAGGAGCGCGGCGTGCAGCGCGAGGATGCGCGGCACATCCATGTCGCGGAGAATGAGCGGCTGCGGTCAGTGTACGTCCCGATCCGTGCATACCCTCGCATTGCACACGCGGTCCATTAGCGCCGCTGTCGGCGCGACCAGCGCGCGGTCCGCCACGACTAGTGCGGGGAGTCGCACGAGCCACGCGGACAGGTGTCGGCTGGCGGTGCGGCTCGAGTTTGGCGGCGCATGGCAGAGAAGGAGCGTGAGCGCATCAAGGAGGCCCGCTGTTACCGCGCTCCCCGATGCATTGCCCACTGCCTCCAGCGTCATGCTGTACGCGCCCGCATCCATGTCGGCGAGGCACCCGACAAAGCGCGTCTCGAGCGACCGGCTCTCGCGGAATGCCGTCCGCAGCGTGGCGTACGCGAGTGTCGGTGCGACATACGCGTCGCCGCTGTCCATTCCACGAGCGGCAACGATGCACGAGAACAGCGGCGGCACGGTACGCGCAGCGCGCAGAAACGCCTCGCCAGACGCGCCCGACGCAAGACACACGCAGCGCACCGCGCCCAGAAGCGCATGCGCGTCGTCCGTGCTTACCCCGTGACACCGCGGCATCTCCGCCGCATAGGCACCCAGCCGGAGCGGGAGAAGGTCGAGATACGCTGCATCGGCCGTGCCGCGCAGGAGCGGACGGAGCATCGCACACGCAGACACTGCGTTGCGCGACGGGGACGACGCAGCATTTTCCTCCGCGCCCCGCCCGTGGTCCTCGTTCGCCGTCTCCTCGAGCGCGGCGACGCGCAGATGAATTTTGAGCAAGCGGCTGAACGTGTCATCCGCAGACGACTCGCGCGGAAGACGCGCAAGTGCCGCGGCACGCGTCGCACTGTGCGCGCCCCGCAGCATCGCGCGGAGCAAGTGCGCTGCGCCCTCGATGAACTCGGTCTCCCGCGTCGCCTGTTCGGCGGCTGCTCCGCACCGCGCCGCGATCGCGAGAGGGTTCCCCTCGCAGCTAGCCGCGCGCGCGACGTCCTGGCCCCGGCGCCTTTTGTTCCCTCTCTCCCTTCCCCGCGCCCTTTTCTCCGGGTGGTCCTCGGGGTCCCGCTCCGGATTTCGCTCTGCACCGTGCTCCGGATCGCGCTCCGGGCGCCACGCGCCCCCGCTGCGGACGCGCGCGAGCGACGCTGCATACTCTGGCAGCGAGAGGGGAAGCTTTGTGGGCGCGGACGCGCACGGCCACAGGCGAGTGAGGACGCGATGGAGCAACGCCCATGCGCCGAGGTTCGCTCGCGTGAGCATCCCGGCCGCGACCCACGCGGAGTCGGCCGCGAGGAGGCGGTCCCGGAGCACAGATGCCGTGTCGCGCGGGAGGTACGCAACAGGCATGCGGGAGGCGAGCGCGAGGCTCGCCGACAGCTTCGCGGGGTCCACGTCCGTCGCGGTGTCCAGCCACGCAGTCGCGTCCGCGAGGACCGCGATGAGCGCCGCGCGCCACCGCTTCATCTCGAGGAAGCGCGCGTCGCAGAGCGCATCGCAGCTCAGGAGGTGCAGCATGCCCGCGACCGTGTTGCTCTCTGCGCGGGCCGCAAGGAAGCCGTGCATCGTCGCAGCGAGGCCACTGAGCGCCTCCTCGGGGAGCGTCGCGCTGTCGTCAGCGCACCGCCACCCTGCACGCACTCGACCGTCTGCATCCACCGCGTCGTGACCAGCCGCCAGAGTGCGACGGGAACACACGCTGCGCTGCGGACGCCCGCAATCTGGCCGTCCCAAAAGCCGGGGTGCGCGTCCATGTGGAGCGCCGACGACACGCCGCTGTGGAGGGCGTCGACGAACGGCTGCGGGAGCGCCGCCGGGGTGCCTGCCACGCACGCACACTCCATAGCGTACATCTGCGTGCGGAACTGGCGTGAGGGGGACCGCCGCATCACGTACGAGCTCCAGCTGGTTCTCCGGCGCGGAGATCTCCCCGAGCATCGCGCGCGCCCGCGCAAAGGCGGGCGGCCGCTCCTCGTGGCTGCGCGGCGAGTCCAAGCGTCGGCACAGCATGTAGTCGACCCGAAGCCCCGCGGCAAGGAGGAGCTCGCGCGCCGGCGGTCCGCGCTCCGTGCACGCGGCGACGCCCGCGTCCATGAATCCGGCCGCGACCGCGCGGCAATCGTGCAGCACATCGCGCGGGACGGACCGCAGGCCGCGCACTACGACGAGCAGCAGCTGCATCGTCGCGTACGCAGGCGCGTGCTCTGTGCGCCCGAGCTGCGCTGACGCGCGCGTCGCGACGTGCTGCACGAGTGGGGCCACCTGCAGCGGGGTCACATAGTCCGCGAGCACATGCTCCCAGTGCGCTGACGCGGTGGTGTCCAGCAGCGGACTGCGTACAAGCGCGGCCTGCACCGCGGCCTCTGTGGCGGCCTGCGCCGCATCCTCCGC